CTCCCTGCATGGAAGTAGTAGCATCACTTGTAACTTTATTCTGAGATTTCAGAAAAAAAGAAAAAGCTCCGATCATCATGTGATATTTCATCTAATAGCAATAAATCCATTAGGCTTATCTAGTGAGTGACATCTCTATTTGTCTTGGTGACTGTGAAAGAAAATCTCAAATTTTGAGTTGTCACCAGGATAAGAATAGATTGAAAACCTTAAACTGGGGACTGTGGTTCTGGTGACACAGCTGACCACCAGGGATTTCCCTCACTTTGGACGGATTTCCTCCCACTTCCTGTTGTGTTTATAGGATAGGCAGTGAAGGGAAATCTCCCCAGTGGGACACGGATGACAAACAAATCTGGCAATCCTCCCTTACTCTATCCAAAGCGAAATAGAGTTCTACCTAATAGCCTGTTTCGTAAAAAGATTTTCACTATAACCAGCTCAAATTTAAGGACGTTTGCCCAATCCAGCCATTTACAGTCAGAACAAGTTTTTAGGCCTGTGCACAAGGACAGTTTACTGGCCAGCCTGCCTTAAGCTGGCCATACACTGCAAATTTCATCCGGTTCTTGATGAAGCCTCAGGTAGGGTACACAGGGTACGAATTTAATCAGGATCTGGCCGAAATGTGCGCAGTAGATGCCACTGTCAGCACCCTTCCACTCGGCATCCCTTGGTCAGCTGATCGAAGGAGCAGGTTAAAAAATTCTTGGCCTAACATAGCTGGCAGCCAGCTGCTAACTTCATTAGGGTATTCTGATAGTGGCTGGTGGCTGCTGTCAGCATACAATGCAAACAGCGGGGGATTCCTCCATCAACGCTCTTAAGCATTGACAGAGGAATACGTTTTTTGGGGTTTTTTTTCAGCCTGTGGGTGCATACCCAATTTTAGGGTCATCGGTCAAAGATCTGGGCTTTTGCATTTCTATTTATTCTTAGCACTTTTAAAGTTCTGTATGACTGTCCATCAATGAGATGTCATTGTGCTATCTCTGGATCATAATGTCTGCACTGCTGTCTGCGTCACCACTTACTATTACTAATATGCTCTTAATAGTATTCCAGTTTCTGTTAGTAGAAATACACGTATTTTCAAATCTGGCCAGTTGCCTGGTAAAATCCGTTGATTTCTGAGAGTTAGAACAATTGTATTGTCTGATGTTCTTATTCTTCAAATTTAAAAACCAATCTTTGTGTCAAGTCAGTGCACAATGTAATACATTATGAACTATTCTAGCAAATAGCGCGCAATGGAAATTGTAGTCACTGCAGTCCTTTAGACGGTATTCCACTTGGCTGCCCAACTGGTTTATGCAAGGTATATTCATTTATCAAATGGTGTATGTGAATTGGCAGGCAGTGTTAATAGTGACTGGATTAGAAAGCATATATATTGACCTGTGGCAGAATATATATTAAAGGAAACTACCAAGACAGTATATCAGCTCCCATGGAGTTCTCCTGAAACTGCTAGTTGTCTGTTATGCTGAACCAGGATTTTTAGTACTTTCTCGGTATCATGTATGCAGACGAGAAGTTCTAACGTTCCTAATGTGTATGCTTCTCCTAGGTCAGTGACTTAGAAATTAGTTTTCCTTAGTAAACCTCTCATGGGGGAAAAAAAGAAGCTTTCATCTCTAACATCCTCCTGAAAATGTAGTTGCCTGGCTGTTTTTGGCTTCAATTCTTTCAGTGTTTTTACAGTTTCTGCCCTGGAACAAGGATGCCAGAGATAATCTGCTAACTTATTTCAGTTTAGTGACTTTGAAAGAATAGATTCACACTGAAGTCAATGGAGCCTGTTCACACCTTTGCAACTTATCGCCTGCCGCGCAAAAAAGGTGCAGGAACTATTTTCGGGCGGTTGTCGTGTGGTTTGGGTCCTATATACATCTCTATGCATTGAAAACCGTGCGACAACCGTGCGGTTTTCAAAGTTAAGTCGCGCAAACAAAAATGCGTGACAACTTTGTGAAAACAGCTCACCAGCTCAATCGCCTAGGTGTGTACCTAGCCTAAAGGACAACTCTACTTTGCAATGATTGAAGTAAATGTTGTCAAACTTTTTGAAAGAGTAACTAAAACAGCAATTACGCATTTACTGCGTTTTACACATATGAACATGTCTGAACTATCTCTATGGGTAACCTGGTAAGGTAACTATAAATAAGAGGGCTGTGTGTAGTCCCAGGCTGATGAGAGGATTTAGAGAAGTGTAAAAAACAGGGTGATGCCTGAATTTGATTATTATGAGTTGATATGGCTGTATGACACAACCTCAGCGTTGCACTGCCTATTCGCTTGATCACGACTCTACTTCAGCCATTGCCAATGAGAGGCTTTTTGAACACAGAGGGTAATTCTCTTTTCTCTATTCTCTGCTCCAATCCACAGCAGCTTCCTTCTACCGAGTGCCTGCTTCGCTGCCAGTCTCTTCTTCTCAGCAACATGCCAACCTTAAATTCTGCTAACAACAGTTAACAACACACATGTATGGTTTAGTATAAACAAGAAATAAAACATAATTTCAGTAGACCCCAAATTATTTACACAAAGGGCCAGTTCACTGTCGTTAAGGATGTTTGTGGGCCAGACTGTGGGCAGTATGAGTACCAAAATGACCCTGCATCTGAGGTCAGTGGGTGTAAAAAATGCTCTTATCCCTCTGGTCAATGACAGCAAAAAATGCTCCCACACAGGTCAGTAGAAGTAAAATAATACTTCTCTGCCAGAAGTCAGAGGGATTAAAACATGCCCCTGCATCAATAGGAGAAATAAATGCCCCTTTGTCAGTGGGAGTAATAAATGTGCTGGCTTTAGTTGGAGTAAAAAATTAGCTGGCATCAGTTGTCAGTTGAAGTAAATTATGCCCTGACATTGGTGGGAGTAGTAAATGTCCCAGCATCAGTAGGAGTAGTAAATGCCCCTGTGTCAGTTTTTACTTTGGTCAGTGGAATCTTGAAAGTCC